TTATTTGAAAAGTCCGAAGGCCAAAAGACTAAGAGGGCCTGAACAATAGGAGGGGACAAAACCAAGAGGAGTTGGCAACTAATTGGATGTGGGGATTAAGGAAAAGGTAGGCATCAAAGATTACCTCCAGGTTTGTTTGAAGGTGAAAGAATGGCAGGATTCTGATGCCATCACAGGATATACAGGTTTCAATCAAACTAACCCCAGAAGAGCCACACATATTTGAAAAGTATTTTGTCTCACATTTTTACCTATTACACAGTTTTTAGTAATTTAGAATTTAAGCCAGTAGTAAGGCCACTGTACTTCTATCAACACAGTGAGGTTGGGCACATACAGGAGGTAAGATGTTCAATCCCATTTAGAGATGCTGAGTTTGAGGTGCTGCCAGAACATTCAGATGAAGATAAGACAAGACTGTCAGAAATGCAGGATAGGAAACATCTCCATTTAGATGTTTATTCTTTCTATCTAAACGTCCATCCAGTCCTCAATGTCTGCAATTCTCTGTGATTATAATCTATCCTAATCCTACATTTCCTAATGGTCACAAATGAAGGGACCACAGTTGACAGATGTACAGTGACACCACTATTGGCCTAAATTCTAATAAAAACTGAAATAAGCAAATCTGTGAGGCAAATAAAAAGCTTCTCAAATATGTGTGGCTTTTTGGGGGGTTAACTTGATTGAGATCTGTATTAATTTCTTACAGCTGTTGTAACAAATTACCACAAATTTGGTGGCTTAAAACCACACACATTTATTCTTACAGTTCTGAAGGCCAGAGTCTAAAATGAGTTTCAGTCAGCTAAAGTTCTGGCAGGGCCATGCTCCCCTGGAGGTTTCCAGGATGCATCCCATGTTCAGTGTCACCTGAATAAGCCGTAGCCACAGAGGTCTCTGTTTTAGTTGAATGGGAATTTGCACTCAATGGTTTCTTTTATGGTTTCTACCTTATGGTTTTAACTCTTTTTTTTCAATAATAGCTTTATTGACATATAATTCACATACTATCCAATTCACCTACTAAGAGTACAATTCAATGGTGTTTAGTATATTCAGAGTTGTGCAACCATCACCATTAATTTTAAAACATTTCTGTCACTCCAAAAAGAAACCCTATACCCATTAGCATTCTCTGCATTTTCTCCCAATTTCAGACAACCACTCATCCACTTTCTGTCTCTGTAGATTTGTCCATTCTGGACATTTCATACAAAAAGAATCATGTACCATGTGGTCTTTTTCACTTAGTATAACGTTTTCAAGGTTTAACCATGTTGTAGCATGGATCGGTACTTCATTCCCTTTTATTGCCAAATAATATTCTATCGTACAGATATATCACACTTTATGTATTCATTCATCAATTGATGGACATTTTGGGTTGTTCCCACTTTTTTGGCTATTATGAATAATGCTATCACAAACATTCATGTACAGGTTTTACATGGACATGTTTTTATTTCTCTAGAATGTATACTAGGAGTAGAATTGCTGGGTCATGTAACTCCTTCCTCATCACTTTTCATATTAATGTCCACCTTTCAGAACCCAAATTTGGTACTCCTTCCACAGTGTTCCAACATCTCCCACTCAAAATGAATCTTCTCTCTAGTACTCCCACTGTTTAGTACCTCTTTATCATGTTTACCAGTTTGCCTTGGATTTTGGTCATTCCTGCATGACTGTTTCCCTCATTATACTGTGAGTTTTTGGAAAGCAGGGGCAGGCTCTCTCATTTTTGTATAACCCCAAGGCAGTGAGTGCATTGCCCTGCAGAAAGCAGGAACTCTATAAGTGCTTTTGACTTCATGGGGAATAAAAGTTTAAGAATTTCATATGCTTAATCCTACAAAATGTGTCTAATATTTAATAATAATGTTCACTTTCAAACTTCAACAATTAAATGCTTGGCAAATAATGATTGCTGTAAACATGTGTAAGGGAAACGGATTTAGTACATTAAAAGTATTTATTCTGAATTTCAGAAGCCACAGTATTTTGGACTTATAGTTAAGAAAATGAGACATTTTAGAAATTCTAGATAGGTCTCTGAAAATAAGTGTTTTAAATTTCATATGTATGTTCTAATTAAATATTAGCAAGTCAAAAAATTCTTTTGAATGTTTTGCTTCTCTGTTTTCATTATTGTCTAGTTATGAAGTCATAAAAGGCCTATATGAATAAAAAGTTTTTACTCATATTGAAAGCCTGTGTTTTAAACAATGGACAAAAATGGAGGGCATCTTCAAATCTCTAAGACTGGTCTGATTCCAGCTCTAGGCCTTTAAATGTAGACCACAACTTCAGATGGAGTCATGGGTTGCATCGAGGTTATTAGCACATTCTCAGCATAATTATCATGAACACATTCAAGATATTCTAGGCCACTGGTCAGGTGGCGAGGTGTCCCATAGTCAGTAAGAGGAGAAAGGGAAGTCAGTTCCTAACTCTGTTCCATCTGAAGCTATCCCTATGGCTTTGGGTTGACTGTATATTAGTGTGTTGGCTGAAATGACAGGAAAGGACTTGACTGTAATTCTAAGGGAAAGATATACTCCTTTGTTTTAGTCAGTAATATAACTTTATTTTTTTAAACAAAAAAGTAAATATTAAATAGTATCCAACCATAAAAGCAAATATTTTATATATACATTTACATTCATAAAAATAATAAGTTTTCTGGATGAAGAACTGAGGCCCAGGAGTTAACTAGATTAGTGGTTCTCAAGCTCCGCTTCATCTTAGAATCAAAGGTAGTGATTCCCAAGCCACAGTGACCAATTACATCAGAATATCTGGGGATGGGGTCCTTGTATTATTATTTTTTAAAGCTCCCCAAGTTAAACTTGAGAACAAGAGATTTAGGTCATAGTAGGTCAGAGATGAATACAAGTTGTACCATTGATTATCTTAACTTTTGCAAGTGTAGGTAAGCTTTTGCTATTTTCTTGTGTATACTGTTTTGTTTTTTGTTTT